AAATAAGATGCAGCTCTATGTTTCCTCAGCTCACAATATCAAGTGGATGTAACGCTGAAATGTATCTCTAATTACTAATAATGTAAGGATGTAAATGTAAAGTGTAAAGTGTGATGCATAATTAACATGACTAACAAAAAAAAAATGGGATTACGAGAAAAATATAGGAAAGATCTCATCCGATATGTTGCAAAGGAATCCATGACATCACGATGATTTCGAAGAGCTCCAATAGATATGCTGCCGCTACATCTTTCAACCGGTGTTAAAAACAGCATTAATTTAAAGAATACATTTGAATATAAAAGTTAAAAATTTAATGTTTATGAAATATATAGTGAAATGCAATATATCATAATAAATACGTATGAAAAATTACAAACAACCTAGATTTTATTTTTAAATCCTTTAACCCATATTATTTTAATGGCACTTATGCAAAAACATTATTTATGTGACCTAGAATGAAACTGTGTCCCACTAGATGTTATGAATATTTTAATTAATTAATCGAAAAACCGAAAAATCTAGGTTATTTGGGCGTTAACCAATATTTTTCAATGATAATTCATCATCAATGATTGCAAATATTGAACACTCTGTTAAGGTAAAATTATATGGTTAGTTAATCTGTAATGTAATGGTTAAATTAAAGAGTAATTGAACCTGTTTCCAATGATGTAACGCGGTCTTTTTTTTTCCAGCTGTTTGTGGATCCTATTTTTAAATATGCAAGCAACTATTTAATAATTAAAATCTGTAGTAATATAAATTCATGTAATGTAAGGTATTAAATTATAATAATATGGATACTTGAATTAATTTGACATTCATACAGATACATACATAATTTAATAAGATTGTTATACTGCTTATATGTAAACGTTGCATGAATATTCCTCGATTGATGCCTGGTAATATTAGATTACAATTTGAACTTTTAAATATTGATGATCTGAACAAAAACCCTTTTTGATTCTATTAGAAAACATACTAATAGGAAGAACAAAATTAATCGATAAAATATTATGTACAGTAAAATCATAGACAAACAGACATAACACATTGAATATTTCCCACTGTAGAACATCGTTGCTTAAACATTACCATTTACATTGAGTCCACTGTGGTGGGCACTACACAGTAGTTTGTAAACGTCAAACGCAAGGGAATTGACTATGCGCGCCAAGGTTGCAAAAACTCATTTCAGCCAAAACAATGTTATGTTTAATTATGAAATAATTAGATGCTATGATCATATTCTGAATTGGTAAGATACAAGAAGAGGTTGCAAAGAATGTGCCCGACACATCAAACCTGTCCACTCCACTTCATGAGAGTCACAATCAGCGATTTTTCACACACTCACTCCCTCACTCACTCAGCGATCAGCAAATCGCTGATTGTGACTCACAAAAAGCAAAATTTACAGGTTACATGCCTCAAACGCACACCCCGCAACCTCCTCCTGTAAGTCCCAAGTAAAACATGTCATCATACCATCTTTTGGTTTTATTATTCCGAAAAACATTATTTTAGCTGAAACGAGTATTTGCAACCTTGATGCGCGCCACAGGTAGCGGTACTACCAACTACGATACTTTTAAATTGTCCGTAAAATGCTTGTTCGATGAACAACTTGCGAGTGTTATGTCTGTTTGTCTGTGGTTAAATATCATTCCTAGACAATACATTACATGAAGACTGTATAATTTACATCCAAGATCTCGGTGGATATAAAATAATATAATAATATAATTGCGAAATAATCAACATTAATAATATAAAATAAGTAGATAATATCAATTAATATAAAATAATATTATAGGATGCATTACAAAACAAAATCGATCTTTGGAAAAGCATTCCCTGCATCCATTGGGTACTCAAGGGAAGTAACTGTGAAAAATTACATAAAAAAGTTTTAGCACATGGAACGGAGAAAAGCAAAATGAAACGATGCGGAATGGAACACAGAATCAAAGCAAAACAGCAAATAAGGTTACCAGCATATCGCTTTCTAAAGGTCGTAGGGTTACTAGAATACTAATTAAAATTTAACCTCTTTAATATGCACGAACGGGATTAAAGGTACAGTTAAATAAAAGAAGAATAAAATTGTATAGCTAAGAATAAATAAAAATGTTGTAAAATATAAAACATTCCATATAATAATTTTCTCATCTTGTGGTTACATATTTTCATATAAATCAAACGCTGGAAAAAATCTTTCAAATGCACACAGCCGTTGCATTCGACTCAAATCCGAACCGTACTCACTCAACCTTGCAAAAAAACCCATACCATTCAAACATCCGCACGACGAAAAAAGAATCCCACTCAGTATATTCAAAGACTGTTTTTAAAATCCCCCGACTCTCCTCATACCTGAGCAGACCCCTGAGGAAAACCTAAGAAAACTCAGTCAATGAACGACCAGGTCCTTAGCGAATCCAAGCAAATGGAACTCAAACCCGAATCGGAATCAACCAACGTTTAATGGACGAATTTAAATAAACTTGAATAATGTATGAATAATTGTGGAGAATAAGGAATCATTTTGATGCCGACGCAGCGAATCGATCATCGCGCCTACGCCCCTATGCATGCTCACTGTCGATATGTTTGGAAAGAGGAATCAAAACACCGAGAGGCAAAAAGAAAAGATTCCAACAACCACCCATCAAAATATTGCTGTAGTTTCGAAGATTCGAACAAACCCATTCTGTAGCACAACGTTTCCAGAAACAACCCTAAAAAAATAAGTCAGTCCGCTTCAACGCCTCCAACTGCTGTGCACCTAAAGAAAATTTCACAACCTAATCAGTAATAAAAACGCGATTGAAATGTACAAACAATAAATGCCATTCAAATAGAAATATATTAAGCTGAGAAAAAAAAAGACTTCTGACGCCACAAAACCAATTAAATATAACGAAAGTGCATGCAAAAGTTATAAATTTGATAAAAAGGTAAAGGAACAATCTCACCAAATTTTCTGCCGTGTACCCTGAGCTGCTGCGTGTCTAGCTAATCCAAACCAACCAGACTATCAACCTCACATACACACGAAGACATCTCAGCTTTAATAATACGACGCACACACATAGCACCGCGCTTCGGTTTCTTTTCCTTCTCTTTTTTTTCCATTCTGTTTCTCAACATTTTCACTGTTATTTCACTATTTGCGAATGTCACTGATGCATAGAACGCTACCGAGAAGCAACCGTTGGCTAAAGCACTACGCACTCATCGCGTTTTGCCATCCACATTGGCAAAAAAAAAAAAAAATATTATCACCTCATCAAAAATTACTCAAATCTTTTCTCATCCCGCTTCCAATGAAAAGTGGTCCTCGGAACCTGATTTTGAAAAATGACGAAATGATGTTTTTTTTTTTAATTTTCATAAATGAAAAATCAGACGCCATTACCAAGCGAAGGAAGCTGTAAAGTATTGTATATATTTGGATGAGTGTGTAAAAAGTTTGAGTTATTTTAGAAAAACACCGTTTTCTCAATACACATTCATTTACTTGAAAGTTTATGAACCACACTTTTCGAAATATTGTTTATTTGTAGTCATTATAAATATATTTTGTAAGCTGATAATTTGACTAAAATATATTCACTACGAAAATAGTCGAAAATTTACCATTTTACTAAAATTGCTTCCGTCGATCTTGTTTTCCGTGCTGAGCACCAATACTGCCGATGCCAGGGAGGTAGCACCCACACCAGGACCCTACCTATCGACCCATCAACTCATGAACCGGCGACCAACGGCTTTACTTCCCTTCTGAAGGCGTGATCAGAGATGTTATGCCTCAGAACATCCCGGCGGCGCCGACTGGGATTGAACCCAGGCCTGCTGGGGTTTGAGGTAATCACGCTTACCACTACACCACCAGCGCCGCTAAATTGCTCAAACTTCATACAGGCACTGACAATCAAATCTAAGTCTATACTGATAGCTCCATAAATAGTTGATCAACCACCAGCCAAGATTTCAGAAATCTTTCTATTCGTAAAGTTTCAATCAGTTGTCCATTCAGGTGTACCGTGCCGATTCAAATTTCGGACACTTAAACTCGAATTTCGGACACTTTTAAAAGTTGATTATCTCGGTCGAATATGATCCACATGTCTTGTAAATTTTAAATTTTTTGACTAGAGCCCTCCACGATCATCTAACATTATTACTTTGTTTCTAACTGGATTTAATATTTAATTAAAAATGAAAGTGTCCGAAATTTGAATCGTCCGAAATTTGAATCGGAACGGTACTTTGTCTGCAAATCAATTTGACATCTGTGAAAAACGTTTTTATTTTTTTACTGTCAACCTAGTGCTTCGCGCATACCTACAAGCTTATGTGTATGCCAGTAGCTATGCGCGGAGCACATGATAAAAAAATTAAAAAAAAATATCTTTTTGCACATTTGCATCTTTTACAAAGTAGTTCTGTGTAGGTTTCTCAATCCTAGTCCCAGGTTTGGTAAAACTTGAATGATTTTTTAATTTTTGACAAGCAATCGAAAACACCCTTGAAACATTGCAGATTGGCCCTTAAGCCTTCCAAAACATATTCTTCAAATTATATTCCATAATTTCAGTAAACTCTACGTCTAGAGCATTCCAAACTCAGCTAGACTCTAAATATCGACCACCCTTAGAAACATGAACACCCCCACTTTATCTCCCCTTTTCGAGTCTCTTCGAGTCTCTCATTCTTTCTCCACCGTACCTCTGGAGCTGGAGCTCACATCACCACCCGCGAGCCAACCAACCAGCCAACCAGCCAGCCAGCAAGGCAGCGAGAGCCAACCAAAAGCGAGCGCGCGAAATCCATCAACCGTCGTCATGTGCTCCGGCAAAGTCCACTCGATCGGTCCCCTTGAAGAAGGCGAAGTAGCTCGCCTCATGGTCTCGATTCTGCAGCCGTCGCGATCAGTTGAGTGTTGACCGCGGATCCAAGCGGACGACGTCTCCCCCCCTCTGTGCATCATCCGCGCGATCGTACCATTGTAAACGCGGACGCGTGTGCGCGATCTTTCGATCGTCGTTTCACTCTTGAAAGCTCTATAAGGAATTGGCTGCAACAACACGCAGATTGTGTGCTATTTACAGTGTAGGTATGGATTAATTTTCTATCGTTATCAAATCCGGAATCGGGAGAAAACAGCTGTGCGGTAAGATTGAGCGAGCGCGTGACCGAAACTTGATCTACAACCTCTGGGAAGAGCATTGTGGATTGTGGCCGGCGCTCGAAAGCGGAGTAGTTCATCGGGTGATTGGAAGAAAAAGAAACGCCACTGTCTGGGGGCCCGGTACATGCTTTTGCGCGTAAGATAAGATCTCTGTGGAGGCACATTTGTGTGAATGGTGGATTAGTGTCACATCGCGACGCGCAAATTGTTGTGATCGTTTTCTGTCTTCAATTCAGGTCGTTGCAATTTTCAGACGTGTCCATAGGGAAACAAAGAAATAGGTTCGCTATCGGCCACTGGACTCACGTAGCTACTATTGCTGTTGTTAGGTGATAATTGAGAGTTCATAGAACGATTCCCGGAGCCGTTGAGGAGTATCAGCAGAAGTGTAAGTGCGCAAACAAAGAAGCTGGCACCTTCTGCCAGCGTGTCTTGAGTGATTATCTTCAAGTGTCGACTCACAAATGGTGCCAATGATCTCTGCCCGTCTGAGATAATCTGCCTAAGTGCGTAACCGCTCTTCAACGGTTCCATAAAACTCGATACAGGGTACTACATGCGAGGCAGTCTTTTCGAAGAAGGGTGTGATGCATTGACGGCTTGATTTTCCCACAACGAAACGAATTAATCCACCGGATAATTGGATATGCACATAGGTTGCGAAGGTGAACAAAAAAGCATTAAGAAGAAAAATGAAAATTTACAACTCTGCTTTATCGGAAAGAAAAGGAAAATACAAAACCGTGTAGTTACAACCACATGGCGAACCGGCAAAACAGAAGAAAAAGAAGAAAAGGTGAATTATGAAAAACGGTTTCCAATAGGCTCGTTTACCCACCCGTATGTACGAAAAATGCAATTTTTTATCGAACACTGGGCAAGTGAAGTGAGTGCAAAACGAAATCCTAAGTAGAGAGTTGAATAACTAAACGAGCTTATTGAAGTTGAGAGTTTGGTGAAAGATAACAACAACAACAACAACAACAACCGACAAAAGCAGCAAAACATAAGAAAAATGAAGCAGGAATTTCACCTCTTTCTCCGGCGCGTCGCAATCGATGGTGATCGTTTTGTATGAACGGTTGTTTCTTTCTTCATCGCCACCATTTCGAACAGCACTGCAGGCAGACATCGGTGCACTACAATGAAGGGAAATACCTGTTTCCATCATCCAGCCGCGTAAAACTATTAGATGAACCTGTGAAATATTGATCATTCGAAGAAAACAAAGTGAAAATTCAAAAGTGCTTCTTCGGCAACACCCAATTTATTTTGTGTTGTGTCCGACCTACAAAAAAAAGTATAATTTCTCACAACGCACCGCTGAAGACTACCGTTGAATGTAAATTTCAATTTGACACTAGCTCAGCCGGGCCGGTCCCGACTACCTTTAGATATGCAAGCTGGCACCAGCAGCAGTGTTTTTGAAAGAGCTGTCCTTCGATGAAGTTGTTGTGAAGTGTTTAGCTAAATAGTGAGCTAGTGCTGGATTTGCTACTTTGCCTTTGGCAGACCGGCAGTGTGAGGAATTGCACTGTACGAGGTGTGGATGTGAAGAACTCTGGTACTTGATTACTGTGATATCTAGCGAGCAACTTGTGTAGAAGATTGTGAATGCAAGCATCGTACACTGCAAATAATATTTTGCGATGCACTTCACCCATGTCCAGAAATTCGAGAAATTGTATATCTACTCGATGTAGTACCATAGAGGGAAATCTAAGACTAGAAGGTCCCGAAATAACGTGCTCAACTTTTTGGCTCAGCTCTGGTACTCTCTTCGGTCCCGAGCTAATCGATTCACCCCTCGAAACATAGGAAAAACAAATAACCCCTCATTTCATCTGTCAAACTTTCATAGCGAATCAAAACAAACATAGCGTAGTACTAGAATTTCGACTAGAATGGGATACGTTAATCGTTTGCTTGGGACCAATAGGCTAGTCAAGTAGTGAGCCAATTTAAAATCGTTAGTTTCGTATTGATTGTTGGTAGTACTGCAGCGTCAGCATTTTCGATTGGTCATTTTCTAAAAGAAATTTAAAATCATGATTCGAATGTCTTGATCTATTACTTGAGCTGTGCTAGGGAATTTGGTTTTCGCGACCGACATAATCCCTCCTAAATCTAAAGTGATACGCTTGTAACCGTAAATTTACTTACTTTGCTTACCTTTACTTTACCTCATCATTCTCGAGCGTGCTACACTTCTTAGATCTTGCTTCACTTGGTCCAAACACCTAGCTCGCTGTGCTCCTTTGCGTCTTGTACCGGATGGATTCGAGGCAAACACATTTTTTTTTCGGGAATGTTGTCCGGCATTCTTACAACGTGTCCCACCCATTGTATCCTTCCAGCTTTAGTTCAGCTCGTGGTTGATGCTTCTCCTCGATAGAGTATGGGTTTGAGTTCACTCACTCGAGAAAAAAGGTAGTCCGCAGCTGCGGGTAATGCTTACTAATCATGAGCACTTAAAGTTCATGAACGATTAATAATGAACATTTAGTGTTCATGATTAGTAAACATTGCCAGCAGCTTGTGTCACTTTTTCTCGAGTCAAATCCATCCGTCTATACGCCTTTTTCACATAGAGTAAGGTAAGGCAAAAATTCGTTTTGGGGATTTGGACGATTGTACAAAATAAAACTAATTGTTTGGAAGGCTTTTTAGACCCAGACTTTCCCCCAACAAATCACAAAAAATGGTGGTGCAAATTATGGGTAAAAGTGTATTTCAGGATGGTAAATTATAACATTTGCGCCAACTTTGGGGGCGTATAACAAGAACAATCCAATAGTGAAGGAGTCATTTTATTTCAGGTCATGATAGGGTTTTTCTTGCAGATGATTTTAGAAGTACCGTAGAACGGGGTAGCTTTGATAGTTAATTGAAGTATATCCTAAATGTTTTTACAGCAATCAATGTTTTTAAAATTTTATTTATTTTTAAACAAGTACTGGAGATCCTAGAGTCAATTCGTCAGTAATGTGTTTAACGAGAATTATTGCATTTGCACTATTTTTGTTCACAGATTTTTGTTTTGAGGTTACTTTGCTAAAACTCGATTGTTTTACTTTAATTTTTAGATTTTTAGCAGTAGGCTAGTTCATCTCGTGGGTAATACTCGATGAATATAGAAAACTATGCGTGAATCTCCAACAATTCAAATCAGGAAATAAGAAACTTTGAATAAGTATACAATCATAAATATCATAAGCAATAGGAAAACAATATTAGATTTGTGAATACATTTATTAAGTGATTGTTTGAGTGCCTTTTTAAACAGACGGAAAACAAGAAAATTGTTTTTTTTTCAGATATTTGGAAAATATGTAAACCATAATACAAAAAAAACTCCATGATGCATCGCCCTAGCTGACAAGATATAAACCATAAACCATCGATAGTATAGCGGGATCGAAAAAATGTCTTCACTTCTACATGAAATATGTACACTCTTTCACATTTTGTAAACTAAGTTTTTACAGAACTTCACGAACCTTCTTAGAAATCAATGAAAATTCGAACAGAAGCTATGACTTAAGAGATTGATTTCAGGAAGCTCTGCGAATTGTTGGGAAACATTTTAAAAGTTTAGGGAATGTTATATAACTGCAAAAAAGCTCATCTTCAGAAATTTCATAGCACCTTATAATATTTTTAGAACTTCAAGAACTTCAAGAAGGGCAACAAACTTTATAGGGGCTCAGCCATTATTGTAAAAGCTTAGCGAGCTTCATAAAAGTCGAGTGAACGTCGTAGATATGCAGATTGTTTAGTAGGACTTCATGAAACTTTATAGAAATTTGTACAAATTTGGGGAAGCTTGTTAAAGTTTTGTAATTTTTCTTGACCTTCATTGAGTTTCCTTAAACTTCAGTGGTTTTGGCGATGTTCAAATGAAGTCGTAGAAATGCTTGGAATCTAATATAAATTCGGAGAGCTTCATGGGGAACATGTACAAGTTTAGGAAACTTCAATGAAGTTAATGAAACATTGTTTTATTGCAGGAAACTATATTAAACTTCCAGACCTTCTTCGGGCTTTAGCAGTTTAAAAAAATATGAAAGTTTAGGGAATTGCATAGAATTTCATTTTTTTTAATAGAATTTCCAAGAACAGAATATAAACCCAACTCTTAAAATTTCGGAAAGCCTCATAGAAGGGCAGTGAATTTTATAGTCGTTCAGCGATCTTCGAACAAGTTGAGCGAATTAAACTGAAAATCGAGAAACTATGCAAAACTTTTTTGAGGAAGCATGTAGAATAATTCTGAAATTTGTTTAAAGAGTCATAATGAAGAACGATGATAGTTTAAACCTTTTCGGGAAGCAATTCAAAATAGTGTAAATCCTTTAAATTTGTCGAACCTCTTAACGGAATCCCTTTATGAAGAACTTTGAGTGGGTTGGTTTATTTCCTTTAAATTCCGTTGTAATTGTTTATCTTTAGACAGATACGCGTATTTCGTCTACTACTTGCAGACTTCATCAGTGCCAAGTTGGTGTTGAGTACTTGGCACTGATGAAGTCTGCAAGTAGTAAACGAAATAAGCGTATCTTTCAAAATATAAGCAATTATAACGGAATTTAAAGGAAATAAACCAACCCACTCAAAGCTCTTCATAGTGTAAGTGCCACCCATGTATCAAGGCGAATAACTGATAGAATAAATTTGATTGTGTTCTCTCCTTAAAACTACTGCAACTTTACGTCAAAAGATTGAACTTTGTAAGCATGAGCATGAGCATGAGCATGATTGACCGCCTACGGTTGCTACTCTGTTATTGCCAGACCAGCTGTAATTACACAGAGAACCAATAGACGATGCTTGGGACTAGCAATCATTCTCAATGTGTTAAAACTGATGATCTCAAACTAGGCAGTATTAGCGCCGGCCGCGCCCGAACACAGGTCAAGAA